ACTTCGATAATTCTAATATTTTATAAACTACTTTCCAACATGCAATTTAACAAGCTATCATTCATTTCTTCACATATATGAGAAAATATGGATTAGCTGATAACATATATAAAAAATTTTATTATTTACACAGATTTTAAACAAAATTATTTTTAATCTAAATTTAATCAGATTTATCATTTAAATAAGCGTATTCACGAATTAGTCAATTATATATTATTATAAATACTATTTGTGCACAGATTATTACATACATAGTTTTGGTGGTGAGAAAATAGATGGATAATTACCCTTACCATTTGATTAAAATAAGTTATCTATCTTTAAAATCTTAATTTTTAAGAATCTGTATTTAAAATATTTTGAATTCTTTATAATTGAGTTATTTACAGATTATTTTAAGAAATATTTCTTTTTATTTCAGATTTCAACAAGAAAACTCCAACTATTTTTTTTATAAAATTTTTTTCAAAAATTAAAGAAAAATAAAAAAAATTTCTGAAAACAATTAGCTTAATGATAGTTTTCAAAAATTTTCAAATGAATTAATACTGTTGCATACTAAAAAACTTCTAGATTTCTATAAAATTAAACCAGAATTTTGTACAATATATATATTTTGTATTTATGCACTGATGTGATTCACGTTCAATGCACGAATACAAAACATATATTGTCATTTAAAATTTGAACTTAAATGCTCATTTATTTAATTCGTATTTTATGTTAATTTATAGAAAAAGAATTACGGATACTTTCAACGTGAAAAACAAAAGCTAGAATAGTACTCTAGAAATTTTAGTTTAAAACAAATTGATGACAAAACACTAACTTGTTCAACATCATAAAAACTTGCTGCTTAAATTATTTTAAAATATAATAACTAAACATTATTAAAGTAATAAAAGATTGATAGATTAGATGTTATAAGAATCACAAATGTGTGATTTCATACAATAGTGAAAATGAATGTTATGGATTATCAAAAATCAATAAAATTGATATTTATGTCCATAACAAAAAGATAAATAGTATTTATGATTTCCTTGGCAATACATAACTTCTTTATTACTTCTTCAAATTAATAACTGATGAAAGTACCGTATATTTTCACAGATAAGACAAGGTATAAATTTTCGTCAAAGTTTTATAGTTTTAGCATATATCTGTCCAATTAGACGACCCCCAAATTATCAATGGCCTATGAATTTAGTTTAGATCAGCAATCATAATCTGGATAATATATAATACGGTATAGCGTATACAGAATTATGTCCTATTTGTAATGTTTCGAATGAATAAATTTTATTTTCTTGCATCTGGCAGCACTACCTTGCTATTGTTGCAAACATTCACACTGATTTGGGCATTCGGGTAATGACCTTGACTATTCACAAAAACGTCATATGGGTTATTCTATTTTGTGGACATACCCTACTCTCTACTAGTAAATAATTACAGTTTTTCCATTTTTTTTTAATAATGATTTTAATTTATATAAATTTCAACCTAATTTTTTTTGTATCTGTCCTATAAGACAACCCCGGACTTTAGGGTCCTTTTTTAATGATTCAACTATCATCTTATCTGCGGAAATATACTGTAGTTACACAACTATCAATACTTACAAGAATTTCTTATTTTTGAATTATATATGCCTAATCAAAAAGTTTCTCCAAATAGCAAAAATTAATGTCTGTTTTCAAAGCCAAGAAAGAACACTAGCATATTTTTTATACATACAGTGAAGCATCGAAAATCTGGATTTGGCCATTGAAAAGTGGATATTAACTCTTTCAATGGTAACTTCATTGTTGCCATTTCAGTGTGAGTGAAAAGTTTTACTTGTTTTCTGGCCAAAACTTTAATCACTTATTGTTACATTAAATTCACATACTATAAAAATAAATTGTTCAACTTTTTTTTATATGTATATTTATAGGTTGTGATAAAATCTAAAAAATATTGTGGTTCTGTAAATTATGTTTTGAATCTGTAAGGATTCCTACATTCCTTGTGAAATACTAGCTTGAACTAAGAATAACTAATTATCTGAGCACTATAAATAGCTTTTTTTCAGGACTTATCACACACTATCGAGAATCTAGTCAGAGACTGATGAGTGGATTCTTGATATTGCTAAAAAATAGCTATTTATAGCGCTCAGATAATTAATTAATAATAGTAGGGCAAAAAGCATAACTAAATTTGAATTACAGCATATTTGAAGTTTACAGTACTTAAAATTTTAATTTATGCATATACTTGAAAATCTGAATGGCTTCTGGTCCCAGTTAGTCTGGATTTTCGACATTTCACTGTACGTGAATTGACAACTACAAAATTAACTCATAGTTTACATACAACTACTATGTAACTGAACAATCAGCTTATGTCTCCATCCTCAGAACCTGAAGATGGAGACATAAGATCAAAAACAGTGTTCTATAGTGTTAATTTTTCACATTACTGCTGGAGTTTGGGTGTTTTATGTAAGTTAATTGACTCATACTTTAACAACTCAGAAAATACTACAATAATGAAGAATTATTCAAGTAAATCTTAATAAATTTTGTACTTATCAATTTCTTGATTCAATTTGAATCTGAATTCAAGATTACAGAAAAAAAATTTATTATTAAAAAATACCTGTTCATTTTCAAAATACATTAAAAAACTTAATCATTTTAACAGAATCATATATAATTATTCAAATAATTGAATTAAACATTATTGTAACATCTAACGTTTACAACTTTGTATGTATCTTATATTTATAAAAACAATACTAAATATAAATGTAAAAGATTTATGGCAGAATTTCAATGTTAAGTTAATTACTGATGTAATTTGTTACTCTCTGATAAGTATTTTTAAAAATCTGACTAAAATGACTTATAAAAAAATTTAACTTAAATAGCTACAATTCAAACTGAAATGACATTCATAATCTAAAAGATGATAAACTACTGAATCATATTGGTTCTTATTCACACAATGAGTCTCACCTGAATTTGACATTACATGATGAAAAAATAAAGGAGTTTAAGCTTAATACTTATGGAATAAAGCCTGAAAAGAATACTAATGGTAAAAATATAAATGCTTTTTAAATATTTGGATAAAATCAGAGTAAATAAACACAAAATAATCATTAAAGAAATTCCAAAATTACTCAGAATAAAACCTGTCATTTTTACTGTTATAAAAAAAGATTTATAACATAAGTAGGTATTAAATAAAATAATTTTTAAATTTCTAAAGAAGTTTACCCATAATTTGAATATTGCACTTTGTTTTCATTTGTGGTTAATATATTTATTTATGATTTTCTTAAGAAGTTTTCTATTATTTATGGGCATTTTGCCATATTATTGTAAGACCATAAATGCATTAGAAAAGATAACTAGGTTTTTGAACAATAAATTTTTAATATTTGAGATCAAATTTATATTATTTTATACATACCGGAGAGAAATTATAATCAATTTCAACTATGACTTCAAAAACACAAATAAAATAATATCTATATTGGAAATATTTATAAGCATTTTATATAACAATTCCAAATATAAATACACATTTATTCTATTGTATTTAGTTTTTTAAAAAATCTTAATTTTGTCTTGAGATATAAAATGAAAAATGAATTAGAAATAAAATAACTAACTTTTTTAAAACTAAAAAATATATGTATTAATAAATAGTGAAATTAAACTGCTAAACTAGTTTACTAACTTTTCATTTAATAGTTATTTTTCCTGAAATTATTGAAAAATTTTAGTAATATTTTTAATTATTTTAAATTTATTTGAATCGTTTCAAAAATAATTGACGTTATATCTGTAATCAAAATTTCTATCAGTTTATAAAATTAACGAATTAAAATAATTAAAAAAACTGTATAATTATAAGGTTCAATCAAATTAATTTTAAACAGTTAACAAATGAAAACACTATTATAAATTGCAAACAGATTAAATATTTTTATTATCATTATTAAGTAACATTTTTCTTATTTATATATATATTTATTTATTTATTTATATATAATCAGAAAACATGGTCAAATAGGTATCACATTGCATATATAATTTGCAAGATCTGTAAAACTTTCAGATCAAAATAATTGACTGTATGCATNTTTACGTCATATTTAAAAATATATTTTACTATTTCTGTACAGAATGCTACAATATTCATAAATCTCTCTCTCTCTCATTTTTTATTATAGGGTTCATATTATCTCTCTTTTAAACAGCATTATATTAATGAAATTTTGGTTATCATATAATATACTACACAAGTAAAGAAATTATATGTTGTATGTTGATATTTACTAGAATTCCAATAAACTAACTGATCTGTTATGGAATTTTTACTGAATTCAAAAACTGTTTAGCTCAAACAGTAGCTCAATTAATAACACTAATATAGTAATTATTAATATTCATGATGATAATATAATTTTCCATAAAATTTTACTTGGTAATAATAACAAACATGGCCAACTTATTTTTAAAAAGTTCATAATATTCTGTATATTATTGATAAAAAACACTCTCATATTCTGTAAAGAGTCCATTGAAATAGCCATTCATCAAAACTTTCAGAACATCCTCATATAAAATATTTAATCACTTTCTTTATTTCTTTTTTTAAGAATGTAATTTGGCTAATTACATTTCATCAACTGGATGAAATAAAATTATCTACGAAAGTCTGAAATTTTTTTCTTCTTTTCCCTTTTAATCAGTTATATGAAGTCATTTTAAATCATTTATAAGGAACTTTTTCCCAAAATAATGCAATCAAGTGTAAACATATTAATCACTTCTGATAAGATATATTTGCAAATCCAGTGACCAAAGTTACATAAAATTTCTATAAATATAAACATTTTCAGTAATAATTCATTTTAAAATTTTTACACTTTTATNTTTTTTTTTTTTTTTTGTTTTATTTTGAACTGAAAGTTGCTGCTCTTCAATTTGGTTTACCTATAACATTCCTTTCCATATGAACAAGGTTTCCTCCTTCCTCTATTTTTTGAAGAAAATGCTTCTTCAATTTCATCGTCCTCATCATCATCATCAGAAATATCTTTCGAAAATCTAGTTTTACCTCTTCTAGATTTCTTAGGCAACTATAACAGAAAATACACAGACCATCAACTAATTTGATGATGATAAAACTTATTAAGCAAAAAAAATACTTACTTTTTTCTTTCGATTTTCTGTTTCCCAGTCACTACCGGATTCACTTCCAGAATCTACTCTATAACTTCTTCTTTTCTTTCTATGTTCTGCTTCCCAATCACTTCCAGAATCTTCATCTTTTTTCAATCCTCTTCTCCTTCTTGACCTTTGTGTGTGAGATTCATCACTATCCCACTCATCATCATCACTAACGATAAAATCTTCTAAAATTTAAAATATTTTATTATTTTCAATCTAAATGATGATAATTTTTATATTAGCATTAAATTTATATATATAAAAGTTCTCTCCCAATTAGAAGATTTAAATTATAAATAAGTAACTATTAATTACGATTGCTTGTTTTTACTTAATTAATAAAGTTGAATATTCAAGTAATTAAAACCTTTTTATTTTTATATATATATGTCAAACCATCATCAGCAATAATGCAAAATTTTATTTATATTTATTTAATTTCTTTTGTTTTTATTTAAAACATCTATGTTCATATAAAAAAAATAATTTAAACAAGTGACTAGAATATGCAGAATTTCATTTAAAGAAGAGATTTTAAAAACTTAACAGCTTTAAAATAGAAAAATAAAAAAGTTCTCAGATAATTTCAAATTGCTGTTATCAATTTAATAGCATAATTGTAAAAATTATTAATTTATTTCAAAAACATGCTGAAGTTGGAAAAAATGATCATGAATGAAAAGAATCATAAAAAAGAAATCAATGCTAACTAAAAGTATTAATAAAACCAGAAACTTTTTGCAAATTTTTTGTATATCAGAATACAATACAAATTAAATAATACTGAAATAATAAAATAATTAAAGATGACTGTACTATGAAACAAAGAAATTTTCAGACTTATGCTTTACTAATAATTTTTATAAGAAAAACTGGCAAATAAAATGGTATTCCAATTCAATTAATTATCTAAAAAATGAAAAAATGAATTTTTTTCATACCATCATTAGATTATTACTCCTTGATCTCATCATTGATCAAATTGTCATAGATATAAAAAAGCCAGAAAATGTTTTTCAGTATTTGGACCTCAGATATTACATCTCAGTTCCAAATAAACTTATCAATGTATTTATTTGATATAAATCTCTGAAAATCTTCAAGCAATCATTGAGCATATCAAAATATTTGTTGTTATTGTAAAACAAAGAACTTAACTGAGTATAGAAGAAAAGTATATTTATGCACCTAAAGTAGAATCTCATTTTAACAGATCACTCAGGCCATCAAAAATCATGTTGTTCTGAATATATTCAAACAACAGATTTCTTGCATACCCAGGAAAATATCCATTATTTGAAAAAATTTCCATTTTTAGCCCCCTACATATAGTAATAATAAAACACACCTTTAATAATCCAGCTAATAAAAATTAATAATATAATAACGTTTTCGATCGTTTCTTAACGATCTTCTTCAGTTACCATAAATACGAAATTAAAATATAAATAACGGAAAAGTTTTATTTTTTGTTTATTTTATCTACTTTTCCGTTATTTATATTTTAATTTCGTATTTATGGTAACTGAAGAAGATCGTTAAGAAACGATCGAAAACGTTATTATATTATTAATTTTTATTAGCTGGATTATTAAAGGTGTGTTTTATTATTACTATATGTAGGGGGCTAAAAATGGAAATTTTTTAAAATAATGGATATTTTCCTGGGTATGCAAGAAATCTGTTGTTTGAATATATTCAGAACAACATGATTTTTGATGGCCTGAGTGATCTGTTAAAATGAGATTCTACTTTAGGTGCATAAATATACTTTTCTTCTATACTCAGTTAAGTTCTTTGTTTTACAATAACAACAAATATTTTGATATGCTCAATGATTGCTTGAAGATTTTCAGAGATTTATATCAAATAAATACATTGATAAGTTTATTTGGAACTGAGATGTAATATCTGAGGTCCAAATACTGAAAAACATTTTCTGGCTTTTTTATATCTATGACAATTTGATCAATGATGAGATCAAGGAGTAATAATCTAATGATGGTATGAAAAAAATTCATTTTTTCATTTTTTAGATAATTAATTGAATTGGAATACCATTTTATTTGCCAGTTTTTCTTATAAAAATTATTAGTAAAGCATAAGTCTGAAAATTTCTTTGTTTCATAGTACAGTCATCTTTAATTATTTCATTATTTCAGTATTATTTAATTTGTATTGTATTTTGATATACAAAAAATTTGCAAAAAGTTTCTGGTTTTATTAATACTTTTAGTTAGCATTGATTTCTTTTTTATGATTCTTTTCATTCATGATCATTTTTTCNATGGCTACACCGGCCAAACAGTATAAGAAGTTGACCCTTAAATTATGTAAAGCAAGGGCTAAATTTGATTTTCTATCTCAATGCCGTCTTAATGGTGCCTTTCCAATGTCTATTTATCGGATACGATTGCCCACGGGATGTAATTCGCTAATCCCAAAATTGAGACAGCTGTGCCTCAGAAAGGCACAGCTGTCTCAATTTGTATTGTCTCAATTTGTATTGAGACAATACAAATTTGTACAATATCAATTTGTACAATATCAATTTGTATTGTCTCAATTTGTATTGAGACAGCTGTGCCTTTCTGAGGCACAGCTGTCTCAATACAAGACGCCAAACGTACGCTATTTTGTACAAGCTGATAAAGATGGAGAACTACTTGTATGAACAAAACCCACAACTTCTAGCGTTCGTGAATAAAAGTGTTGTTAAGTTGACACAGAATGTCGAAAGAAATTTAAAACGCAATTACATCAAGAAACTAAGATGGATATTCCGGATGCAGAATATTAAACCGAACAAAAGCGGAAACACCCATATCACCGCATGGGATAACATCGTACCCCCACAATGCATTTTGGAAGCCTTGGATTACGGTCCTCTTTATGCTCCGCCCCCTTTGCCAAAGCCAGAGACCTTCATACCGGATATTGAGTTGGTCATTAAGGGCATGAACGAAACAAATCAGGATTTTATTCGTTGGAAAACCAGATTCCGAGCGACAAAGGAGGTAAAAAGCAATGGGTCGAACACACGGCGATTTCGAAACATCATAAAGAATTCGAGACATTGGTTACAACAGAACAACATAGTCCTAATGAAGGCCGATAAATCGAAAGGAGTGGTATTGCTAAAACAATCAACCTACAACGAGAAGTTACGTGAATATATTGCAAGCACTGAATGTCAACCAGCACCCGTCCATTTTTTAGAAACCCTGCAGCAAAGGGTCAAAAGGTTCACGTCCACTCCTTTAGCACGGCTCTTACATATGCAAAACTCCATCATCCGTGCACCAAGAGAACCGAGAATATTTGCTTTCGCCAAAACACACAAACCGGGATACCAAATACGCCCTGTTATAGAGAAATGTAACTCTCCAACATTCTTAATCGAAAAACAACTGGTCAAATTCTTTCAATCTAAAGCTCATCGCCATCCATTCTCGATTAACAACTCACTACAACTAATAGAAGATCTCAAAAACATTTCTTTAATGGATGATGAATATATGACGGTCTTGGACTTTAAGTCGATGTATCCATCGATAAAATTGTCTCCTTGCTTCTGCGCATTAAGAGATTTTTTATTTGCCAATGTTGAAAATGCGACACATCATCACAATCAAATACTAGAACTTGCGCACCTGGTGTGTTATACATCGTTTTTTGAATTTGAGAACAAATTATATTTGCAAGGAAGAGGCGTACCAATGGGTAGTCCCACTTCGGCAATTCTATGTGAGTTGGTGTTACGACAACTCGAAAACAAAATTCTACCCGAATTCCAACACCTTATCATTTTGTACGCCAGATACGTCGACGATATATTCATCTTGTAGCAACGAAAACCTAACCTACAGCAATTTTTGGATAGGATCAATAATAACCCTTACGGTTTATTACTACAAGTGGACCAGGGGAGTGATGATATTGTAAATTTTTTGGACATTTCCATCGCTTGCAGACAGGGAGAAATCAGGACCGGCATATACAGAAAACCGTGCTTTCAACCCACTTTAATTCCGCATAATTCAATCGATCCGCATCACATCAAATTGGCGGCCTTTAGGTCCTGGATAAAAAGGGCTTATACACATTGTTCTAGTATAAAAGACACAATGGCGGAGCTAAACTACATTCTAAAGATTGCGGAACAACAAGGATACCAAAAGGAAATCATAAAGAATCTTATTACATCCTTCCAAACAACTAAACAACAGCATCCCACAGTAGACGGTAGACAAAGGATGGTTTTAAATTATATCCCGTTTTTAAGACAAATACATAAAGAAACGGCCAAGACTAATGATTTCAGTATAGTATATCGACGCAATCCTACAGTTTTCAAGCTATTAAGAAACGATAAGAAGCATTATGACTGGAAATCGGCATCGGGAATCTACTCTATACCATTACACGATCAGCGTTTTAATTCGGATCTTGTCTATGTAGGCGCAACAATGCGCAAATTACAACAACGTATCAAGGAACATAAATATACGATTAATAAGAAAATTGATAACACCGTGCTATCGTCTTACGCAACGCAACACGACATCCAAGTCCATTGGGATCGGGCGGAAATTATTAAACCAACGACAAATTTACATACAATGAAATATCTGGAGAAATTAGAGATCTTTAAAGCACACAAGAAAACGGGATGCATCAACCATAGAGATGCGGACTCTTTACCTACCGCTTGGCGATCTTTTTACAAGAATTAATGTCTTTATTTATTTTTATTTATTAAGGGGCATTTTTTCGAATTAATTTTTATTTTTCATTTATTTTATCTACTTTTCTGTTATTTATATTTTAATTTCATATTTACGTTCTTTTTGTGTTCGATTTTATTCTATGTTATGGTAACTGAAGAAGATCGTTAAGAAACGATCGAAAACGTTATTATATTATTAATTTTTATTAGCTGGATTATTAAAGGTGTGTTTTATTATTAGTATATTTATCCAGTTCGTTTATTATATAAGTACAACATGTTCATTTATGCCAAACTCACAGGGAGATATATATGACTTGGAGAGACTCCATGGCCTCACTACTTTTGGCACTATTCTTGGACTGGAAGTAGCTTCCCACCACTTATCAAAGCATTACAGGAGGAAGCTGAAGTGCAACTGCAACATTAGCAATGTAAATTGTGATGATAATGTGCATATTTTTCTCCATGTTCAATGCATTTTTTTTTAATTCAGTATCCCAAATACACCCATATATTAATTAAACACTGAAAGGATGTAATATTTACAGTAGATGATGCTAGAAAAAAATTTATTCTGAATTATGGATCCACTAAAAGAAGATAAAATTAAATTGTTTTGGAAGGTCCTAATGAATGATCTGATATTCCAAGAAATCCATTAAAATGAGATTCTACTGCATATACAGGTTGTTAATATGAGACAAAATTTCAGGTGCAAAAGACATCTTTTTAGCATTGCATGAGATATACATGTGCATTAGTTTTATTGTGATGTTACAGAACAATAAATTAATTCATTTAATGTTCATACAATGGCGATTGCCTGAAATACACCCAATCACCATGATATGAATATTCTGTAATAAATGATTATAAAATAAATAGGAATAAGATTAAAATATTACATACTGAAAGAGATATTTATAAGTGAAAATTTAAAGAAATGTGGAAATTAAAAAACAATTTAAAAAAAAAACTAATAGTGTAAATATTTCCAAAGGCATCAAAATTGACACCAGATGGTATAACATAATAGAGGGCGTAAAATAATAAAAATAACCATCTTAATTGCATAGTAATGCAGTGATTCTAGAAATCTGTATAGTTAGCTTTATTTTTCTATTGTAAATGTATTTTGTGTGGATTGTAGTACATGTTTTTCCTAGTGGTGCACATTATAGCATTCACACACTCCAATCAGAGAAAAAGTGCCTCATCAGTCCATAAAATGTGCTCAAGCAGTTGTACTTCATCTTAGTGTAAATTTAACTTCCTGTTGCACCAGTTAAATCAATGTCCTTCATATAGTGCCAACTGCAGATAACAGTTGAATGAGTGTATGTAATGGCAATGTAAATTTGATATATTATGATTACAGTAGTCCACACTACCTCATTGCTTCACATATGTTTGTATGTGGATATGCACAAATGCCAAAACTTCATCCCGCAAGATGCGGATGTTCTGGACCACAATCTCCAACTGTGTTCAGATTTACATCAAGCAACATATTATGTTCAGAATCATTGTACATGTTAAGTCTTGATACAGATTCTCATACATTTTGTCTCATTTTCCCATAAACTCTAATTATTTCACAGTAGTGTTTGTGAGTTTAAGACATTGTTATAATGCTCTACCAATTAGCAGACTGTATGATACTCTTAAAAACTACATACCATGCATACAATCTTCCAGCAAATAATATGTATTTGAATTAAATACAAAACACGTTTCCAGCCTCTTTTAGTATTATTTGTTTAATTTTTATTGTATAATAATAATTTTGTAAAGTATTTGTAAAATGTAACACATACATTTTAAACATTTCAAAAATGAGTTGATGTCAAAAAGAAAATAATTTTAAAAAACATTCTAAAATTAGAATTTCTAATGTTGTGTAAAGTTTGACACTAGATGCAGACTCTTAAAAGAGCCTAAAAACATTCTGTTTTGTATTTAATTCAAATACATATTATTTGCAGGAAAATTGTATGCATGGTATATAGTTTTTAAGTTGTCTACATTCCAGCTGAGATTTTTATGTATTATGCTCTTTTGTAAGCATTGTGTTTTAAAATTACAGTTTTAATTTGCATTTTATTTGAAAATTTTCATATTGCCTTGAGTTACTGCATGATTTACACACACCTTTTTTTGAATGAATTATTTTACTGTAAACATCACAGTGGAACTAATAAATATGTATATCTCACGCAATGCTAACAAGATGTCTTTTGCACCTGCATGAATGTTAAAGTGAAAATCCTGCATATATTATAATTTAATTATCATTTTCAGTTTAATATTAAAAGCTTTTCCTTACATATATTTACAAAATTTAGTAAATACATGTAGATTTCAAATAGTAAATTAACAATATTTTAAAATTTCGGGCCTCAGAACAGAAAATTACTTCAAAATAAATGAGAATAGTAACTCCAAGCAAAGAAAAAGTTACTAAACAGTGACTGAAATAAAATTAGTTGGCCATGATGATACACATTATTTGTAAGGAGTCAAGTTTGAATATTATTTTATGTTTATTGATTTTGTTTTATTTGNAAATTTAGTACATACATGTAGATTTCAAATAGTAAATTAACAATATTTTAAAATTTCGGGCCTCGGAACAGAAAATTACTTCAAAATAAATGAGAATAGTAACTCCAAGCAAAGAAAAAGTTACTAAACAGTGACTGAAATAAAATTAGTTGGCCATGATGATACACATTATTTGTAAGGAGTCAAGTTTGAATATTATTTTATGTTTATGGATTTTGTTTTATTTGATGTTATAATTTACTTTGAAAATGTTTTCTTTTGTTTAAAAGACAATAACTTATTTTCTTTGCTTTATTCATAATTACTATTAGTTAATAATCATAATTTGTAATTATGACCAGAAAATACCACAAATTGAGCTTCTTGAGAATTCTGGCTATTGGCACTGTTTGTTGCAGCGGCATAATTTAGAATTAATGCTTGCACTGGGTCTAGACATCTGTACACATTTCTTGCATGTTTGTGCAAAAAATTTGTTTCTTGCTTCTGCATAAAGTGCTGAAATTGCAAATTCTGGTCCGAAAAGTTCATTTTTGCGTGTTTTTCCCTCTTCTCATATTTGCATAAATGCAGGCTTACAGCAAAGACTTGAATAGATGCCAGTCTCTGTCAAAATCAAAACCAGAACTCTGGAACTTCCAGTTTCATTTTTGAGTGGTCGTATCCCAGTCAATTGATCAAAATGGGTCATTAACTATCCTTTGCTTTATCTGTATATTTTGATCTGTTCTTTACTTGGTTTTTTTATTTTTTATAGAACATAACTGCAGGCTAATAAGTGCAAGGTCGGCCGGTCAGTCAGTTCAGTAATTAAACACAGGACACGTCTAATAAAAGATATATGGCATATCTCTTTTAAAAAAATTGACAGAAAAATTGCCTGTATATTTGCCATTCTTTCTAATGAGTTATCTTCTTAAATTTTGCAAATTAAAATTTTTAATTAATTAAAAAAGTTTTCAGAGTTGCAGAATTATTAAAACTTAAAACAAGACATTTCATTAAATAAAAAAATCCAGAAACAAAATGCATAACCTTTCCAGTGAAAACACAATGACGTAATAGAACAAATTTAAAATTAGTTTGTGGCGTCATCCGTTACAAGATTTTATTAAAAAACAACTATTATATTATTAATAATTACAAAACTGCAAATAGTTTAATTTTGAGGGTAGAGATGAGTTTTATATAAAATTATAAATGCTAATAATGAGTAAAATCTTCATGACGTCAAACTCCACTCGAGTTATGACACGATCCCTTTCTATCTTCCCACTCCTCAATCTATAACCACCAAAATTTAATAGCATCAATACCCTTTATACACAAGCTCCTGTGCCAAATTTCATTTCTTAATCTTTACCCCATCCTGAGATATTAAATGAAATAGACACACAGAATTTTTTTTCTTTGCCATTTTTAGATTTAGGTGGTCTCAAAATTTGGAGATTTGCAAAAAACTTGGAAGATCAAATTTGACACAATTCCAATATTTTCCCATGTTATACACATAACAAGCTGGGAAAGTAAAACACTGTTTTTATTTGTTAT